AGGGAAAGAAAATCATGGCAATAATGGAGTATTTTTCATTATAAACTATGTTGTACAGCTTTTACAATCAGCCTTTTAATAGATCTAGAGAAATTAAATTGGAATTCTACCAACTTTTGTGCTTTTGTCATCCCATAAAAATGATGTTAAAAAATGTCAAGACTAATGTGGTACTCCTTTTTCTACTGAAGTAAGGAGGAGGTGGTATCGGTCCTGTTGTTTATCAGGCCCTGTTTTTTATTCAGTAATAGGATGTATGTAGAAAAACATTCAGAAATATGCATTTTGCTGTAAGCCCTAATGCCAGTGGAAATCGATTATAGGTTAAATAGGTCTTGACTGAGGTTACCCTGAAGTCCCTATGAAGAGAAATTCCCATAAAAATAGTAGAAACTTTCAAAGTCAGGAGGGTGAAATTGTGTTTTATATGAAAAAGGGAGCAGTCATCTATTGCTTATGGATATATTAATATTGCTGAGAATGCATGCATAGCTACATATTTATTAGTATATTCAAACATTGTTTATTGATTGAATATGGTAAATAAACTCTTACAGTGAGTGTATTGATTACTTTGTGTGTGTAAACATATATATACTCAATCTCAGCATTATACTTAGATACCCACTATGAATAAGTCAGATTGGAAGATTTTAAATTTTTCATTGTATATAAATGCACAGATTAGTAATGTTGTATGAATTTTTAGTATTGTATCCTTCTGTTTAATTCTGTGGGTATTTTTGATGAGGAGGTCTGCAATAGTGAAAAAGGGTTTTTTCTCAAATATATGAATTATTGCTCGTCTCAACACTTATTTGTCCATATTCTTCCTTGCTGTTAGGCCATGCCACTACCAGAAGACTGCAGGAATCAATTAGTAATCCCTTACATTTTAACAAATCATATAAAATAAAAACTGAATATACAAAACAGAATCATCAGCCGAGCACATAAGCATACATGTTGGTGCCCTCAATAAATTAAAATTTTAGTTACTTCCTATAATGTTTATTTATTCACAATTTCAAGAAGAAATATGACTGAAGTTTGAATTTTAATTGGCATAACAGGCAATATTCTTAAACATTTTTCAGGTAAAAATATTGCGTATTCCCTCATGTATAAAACAAATGCCATATATAGTTTTACTTGCTAAGATTTCCGAAAGTATATGTAAAGTATACAACAAGCAGAAACTTCATGTAAATGAGCACAACTATAATACTTTTAGGCTTGTCTTCTAACTCTTAACTTTAAAAAGTTATCCTACGTATCTTTTTTCAGAGGGCAGGGAAAAAAAACCAAAAGTCCTTCCCCCAAGCCACATACTAAAAGAAGAAAAAAAATATAATAAATAAATTGCCACTTGCAAAAAAGGTTAGATTGCTGACCTTGCTTCCAAATTCAGAAATTGAAAATTTGAAGTCCTCCTTCATCCAAATAATATATATTCATTCCCCACAGGCAGCAGTGATGGTTCTTGGGATAAAGAAAAACTTCAGTCTCCCCCCACCCAAGGATCACAGGCTTCTGTTAACCACCCCAGCTTGCCTGGACAGCATAATGTTCCAGTTAGCCATCCTCTCAACCCTCTTCAACAGAATCACCTTCTGCCAAATGGTACGGGTTGACATCTTTCAGCACTAACATCAGCAGTTTTCCTCTTCCTGTCTTTATTTTGTGTTCATATAAATAGGCTGTGAAAAATCAAAGATGTGGGGAATACTGGAATACTTCTTTTAAAGTATTAAACAGGGGAAGCGGAGACAATAAAGAACAAATACATATGCAATAAAATTGATACTTAAAATAACTGCTAACCTGTGCATCAGTGGCATAATAATGCTTTACTAAGGCACCTTGCAGCAGATATAAAAAAAAAACAACAAACCAAACAAAAATCCGGAAAATAAAAGGCCATTGCTTAGCAATGATATACATTACAGTGATACAAACAAACAAAGAGGTCTAATTGCCTATCCTTGTAGCTAGAAGCAGTCTACCATTGTTAGTGATTTATCCATGCATATTCTGGAAGAGAACTGACATACAGCTGCTTTGTCCTGCAACGTGAACCATCTTGTCAACCGTCACTTGAGTATTGTCCATCAGGACAAAAAAAGAGATGATGTTTTAAAAAAAACGTATAAACCTATTTCCTTTCTTTTTTTTCCCATCAGGATTGGAACTTCCTTTTATGATGATGCCCCACCCATTAATTCCCGTGAGCCTACCTCCAGCATCTGTCACGATGGCAATGAGCCAGATGAATCATCTTAGTACCATTGCCAACATGGCAGCAGCAGCACAAGTGCAGAGTCCTCCATCCAGAGTTGAAACATCTGTTATTAAGGTAACTACATAAAAAAACCATCCCAAACACACCTGCAAAATTCTAGCACACTTACAGCTGTTAAGTTTTATAAAGATGGGTAGTTGTCAAATGCTATAAGGTAAGTCATAAAGTCAGTCTATACGAGAAACCCAACTCTTGTGGCTCTGGGAACAGGCTGCTGGTGGCCAGTGTTATCTTCTCAGTTCTCCTTTCACTCTATACATCAGTATTAAAACAGTATTTAAGCTGAAGCATTTTCATACCAAACATATACATACTATGTATGTGTAAAATACATATATAGAGCTCTCTGGTTTCTTGTATTTCATAGGCTGTGGTCTAATGGCAGTGTTCCTCAAGATATCAAATTACTTCTTCTTAAATTAGAAGGGACTCTTTTTCCAACTTTTAAATCTAAGCATTTGAACTGAAATGCTGCATATTATCTCAAGAAGGCTGAGAGGCTTGATACTTTACCTCTGCAAAACCTAAATCACTAAATCCTAGAACAGAATGGAATGAAGTTGCACAGAACAGACCCAGTGGTCTATAGGTCAGAACTGTAGTATTGTAAAGATATCTCAAAAATATGTAACATCTGAAATTGTCTACCCATTTTAGGTTTTGTTTGCTAACTGTAACTAAATCAATCTGGTTAAAGAGGTATTTAGCAGAGGCACGGAATCTTCTGAATGGAGATGTTCCATTTTCATTTTAAAGGCATTTCCCCCTTACCACTGGATATTTATAATTTATAATGAGATACAGAAAGTACACAAACTTTTGTGCTTTTAGTTAACATTCATATGTTAGAAATAGACATGCAAAGGCAAGGTTATTGATATTTTAGGGCTACATTGGAAATCTGTCCATTAATGCAATTTCATTGACAAAAAATGGGTAAACTTAAAATCTCAGGGACCTTCAAATCAAAAGTTGCCAAGGTTTTGAAGTTCATCATATTTTAACCAGAGTGAAGAGGTCTGACTTTATTAAGACATTCAATATGCTTGTGCTCCTGTTCTCTTTAACCTAACAAGCTGTCCTGAGTTTAGCCCAGAATCATAAATAACCATTCAGTTAAAAGTCAAGAAATCTGTGATGCTGTTGACCTAAAAGAATATGGTCTGATGACCTAATTAAAATACCTGCACTTTCATATATAAGATCTTCTCTGGAGGCCTTCAGTGGCATCCCTTTCTCACCTTTGATGACATGAGGAACTAAGACATTGATTTGAGAACAATTCTTCCATTAGGTGCTATGTCAGCAAGACTGGATTCCACTCTAATGTCCATCTTGCCCATATCTTGGGAATACAAACATTCTGCTGCTTACTGATCGATTACATGGTGATTTGGACACCCTTTTTAATGGTGACCACTGACATTAAAAAGTTACCTAAACAAAGAAGATTGGGATGGAGCACATGCTAAATGACACCCAACAAGTATGAATTACTGTGGCAACAAAACTTTTTCTTCAGTGTTTTTTCTGCTGTTTTCCTTTCCTCATTTTCTGCGAGCTGTTTGATTTCATGTATGTGTACAAAATTTGACCTTCACAAGCATCAGTAGCCTTCTGTTTTTAAACTTTGACAAGCCGACTTTTAGCTTGTAAAGTTGATTTACAAGCTAGTTCTATCTATTAAAGTTGCCTAAGCTACTGTGGCCTACATTTAAATAAGTCTATGGGAGCGTACCCCAATGTGACCCCTGATCTTTGTCTCTGGTTACCAAAATCAGGTACAGCTGAAATACAGCATAGCTCCTAAGCTAAGTAAAACAGGCTTCCTTTTGTCAAAGGCAGGTCCTGGTATGTTTACAGATCTCACTCCATTATAAGACTTTTGCTAGATGCAGGAAGCACTTAACTGAGAAGTACTTCTGTCTCATAGAGTCAAACCTGTCTAGTATGCTTAAAAGTATTGGACTTTAAAAGGGAGATTCTGTCACTGTGTAACCGTGCATGTTATTTTAACCATAGGCAGTGCCATATCAGAAAACTTTACTTATCCAAGAGTTGCTTAACTTCTCAGCAAGTTCATCTAGTTGGAATGATAGTTTCATTATAATCTAGGTGAAGATTTTGAAAGTACCTAGAAATTTTGGGTTTCTGTTTGAAACAATTTGGCAGCACTTTGTAACTGGAAATTGCTATTTATTTTTTTTCCAAATCTTCCTTATTTAAGCATTTGTTTGTATTAGTAATATAATAATAAAACTGTTTATGTTTGCCATTTCTGAAAATTCAACTATCCTGTATTCATGCTAATTAAATCTTCATTATTGATGCCAAGTTTTGCACAACTCCTCGTATAACATCTTGTGCAAGTTATTTAACAAACCAGGTTTTGTGTTCCAGTCTGGTTTGCACATAACCATAAGTTAAAAAGATGTGGATTTACAGTGAAGTGTTTGTGAATGACCAAATTAATCTAAGTTCTATATAAGAAGGTGTGCTCACTCAAGGGTGAAATACACATTTTTTGAAGTTTGCATGATTAAGTTGGAATTTTGGGACATTTAAGGTAGAAGCTCATGGAGACACTACCTAAGTGCTTCTGTGACTTCAGTCAAGGCCTGTGGGATATTGCCCACAATACATTTGCACTGCAGATAAATACATAAACACAAGTGTCAATGTGTCATCCAAAACTCACTTCTAATTGTAATATCTTGCAGCACATAGATATTTCAATAATACTGTAAGCTAAGGAACTTACAGGACTTTCCTACTCTTTCCTTCAGCCCCTTTACAATGCAACACATGTCTAGATTTATGTGCTCCGTTTTGCCTGTGGTAGATTCGTATGGTCATGTGGATAGAGAGAGCACGGCCAAGTAATTATGCTCCTATTTTTTAATACTGAACAGGATTGAAGCATAAACCTCAGCAACATAAAAGCATGAGGTCATTGTTAAGGGAATTTTTGTCCCATGGGCATGGACATAATGTCACTGGCAATTTACCTGTTCATCTCTAGGTGTAGTCAGAGGCTGTGATCTTAGTGTCTCTTGAATTATGTACACTGAGTAGTTGAGTAGGAAACTCTAATCAGCATACATTTTGAACCTTGCACTGGCAATGTAAAGTTTATGAATAATAACTTGTATCACAATCAAAATAAATATCTTAGAATAGCTGTAAGTGAGAAGGTCAAACCTTTTTTCTTTATTTTTACAGGAATGGATAAATAGCGTGGTTGTTCTCTTTCACAAAACCATTTATTAGAATCAATTCTTCCTTTATTTTACTGCTCCATTTTTAGACTTTTTGGTTTTGTTTTCCTTATCTTCTGGCTCATTTTTTAAGCCTAATTTTACTGATACGTTTTACCTCAGTGATAATGTGTCCACAAGTTGATTTGAAAAGTTTGTGAATCACTCATGTTGGAGTTCATAGTGAAATGATAGTATAGATTTGAAATTAGAGTACAAGATCTTTATAAGTTTAAACTCTGCTTGAAAGTTAGAAGACCTCTGAGAAATATCTACTCTTAAAATTAAATCAATAGTAACCTTATCTAATTAAGTAATAAAACCCAAAATTAAGTCTTAGAAAATCTGAGTCTTCGTATTATAAATAGTCTGGACCATTGAATAGAATTGCCTTTCTGAACAGTGCCACAGTAGATGACTTGCTGACCTTTCCTTCCAATTCACTGAGTTCACAGCGCTGTTATCTTTAAACTTACAAAGCTTCAAATGCTTTTCTGTTACCAGGCAATATTTCATTTCTTCATGATTAGAAGTTGGAATAAAGCTGAGATCATGTACTAACCAAACATTTTATCCTGCTGTGTTCAGGAGATGAGACAAAGAAAAAATTACAAGGGAGGCCTTACAAAGGAACGCTTAGATTTGGCAATGAACTCTGAGCTCTAAAATCTTCAGAATTATATTTCAGAGGAGTGTTGTGCCCTTTCAAACATGACATGAACATTAGATGTCTTTCTGTAATAGAATGTTTAGATATATGAGTTGGATGAATAAGAGGAGAGCAACAACAAGCAGGGACAGCAGACTGTGACAGCAATGAATTGCAGTGACTGTGACAGCTGTGACCTGGGGATGCTTCAGACATGAGGTGGCTTTCATCACCTGCCCATGGTTTCAAAGGCTCATCTTGTTAGCGGTTTCACTACATCACTTTTTTCACACAGCACAAAGATATGTGAAAATATGAAGGACATACCTCATATTAATAACAACTTTTAAAGTTTAGAACAATGTGCCAGAATAAAAATTACACTTTATCCATACAATGTTACTAATACTTACAGAAAGAATTAAGAGTAAAGCAGAAGAAAACAATACCTCCAGCTGAAAAAATGGCCAGTAACACAATAGTTTTCGACTGTATATTAAATATGTGAGGCTAAATTTTGCTAATTCTCTAAATATATCACAGTGCTGGTTGCATTATACTTGTTTATAACTTTTTCTATGTGTGTATACATGTTCCTGTTATCTGACAGCAGAAATTTGAGCTTCGAAGAGAGAGTTCAAGCCCTGTGACCAAGGCTGCAGCCCACGGATAGTGTGAGGCTGGCAGTGGGCCCCTGGCACTCCCAGCCCAGGGCTTCGTGGAGTCAGGTTGCTTGGGAATGCAGCCCAAAGCAGGTGGTAAACTCCATCCAAGGATAAATACTGGCACAAGACTGAAATTAGCTATTAATTTATTTAACCAAGGTAGCTGCTGACAATTTTTTTTAAAATAACTCATTTTATAGGTATATTCTGACACAAATTTTTATTTAAACATTCATTCACTTTTTCATTTTTCATAGGCAGTGTGTGTTCCTATAATTTGTCATTCCTATAATTCACCTGTAATTTCACCTGTAATTGTTGCCAAAAGATCCAATTAATAGCCAGAGAGAATAAATATGACAATGCCATACAGAAACAACAGAGCAGACTACATTTCAATGTCTCATATCAGAATGTTGGTGAGCAAGTTCAGAGAGTCGACCTGAAAGGAAGCAGACTCAAAGAGGAAAATGAGCAAGTTGA